ACAAACCACAACATAAATATGCAGATTTATTTTATCTACCTAGCAATTATGCAAGTAGATGCATACGAAGAGTTTTCTCTCCCTTCAATTACACGAACGGACATGTCTGCCATTAAAAACTTGGGCTTATGAAGTGTTGGCTGGCAAAGCAAAAAATAGATCACAGTAAAAAGCAAAATGAAACAAGCCTTTTTCTTTTTTCTTTTTTTTGGTGAAAGAACACACATAAAGATTCACAAGATAGGGAAGCTTGATTAAACCTACGGTTTCAGGCCCTCAGAAACGGGACGACAATAGAAGCAGTAAATAGAGCGCCCCCAGGAGGGCGGGGGGGGGGGGTGTGGGGGTACTCAACCAGAGCAGAGAAACAGTGAAACAAAATTTCAAAAAATTCCTTCTAGATATGCAAATAAACTCACTCTCAAAGCTCCAAATACATAATAAGAAACCTGCATCAATAGTCTGCTACAAAGCAAAATTGACCTCAGTAAAAACCTCCTGTTTTTTTCCCACTATGGAGCACCCATAATCAATTATATGCAAGTCTCAAAGAATGTCAATTAACTTGCTTAACCAAAAGCCCCAGAGATAGAATCAACACGTAGAGCACTTAAATAAGATGAACTTTTTCATGGCATGTTCTCAAAATTAATAAAGAAGGGTAACATGAAAACATAAGATTTCCCTAGAAACCCATGCTCTTTTGTACCTAGTACAAGCAAATTATGGATAGCCCAGGACCAAACCTTTATTATTGAGAAAATTCTTAGTTCAAATCATAATTACTAGAAAAAATGGTTTGAATACAACACAAACAAGTTAGTGATCCTTACCCATGAGGAAAAGGCTCCAAAAAATAATGTAATCAGGGGATAAATATCACAGTTCATCAAAGACAGTGCTGCTATTATCAGAGTTTAATAGTAATTTCAAAAAAGCAGCACAAAAATCACATAAATGAATATTTTAACTTAATTTGCAAAACATATTAACCACATTCTGCTATCTTTCCTCATCATATGTGCCTCCCCCTGCTCTGATGTCCCTTATCCCCTGACTTGTCACCCCACATTAAGTCTTTAAGTTCTGACCTCCTTTGTCAGGAGCCAAGCTGTTTAGAAGAGCTCCAAAACAAAAGAAAAATACAAAAAGAGAGAAGTGGAATACATCCCAAGCATACAAAAAACCAATCCAACCAGGATGCAGAAAACATGTCTTAGTTCAACAAAATACTATACTTTGAATAATTGTAAAGGCATTAAAAACATAGAACTGTTGCATTTTTTTTTTTTTTTTTGGCAGAAAAACATTTGCAGATGTCATTCACAGTGACATCAACGAATGAAAATAAGTTCTATCACAACTGTAATAACCTGTCGTTGCATAAACCAACACATCTCCATTCTTGTAAAATGGGCGATAACAATCTTGCCTCAATATTTCACACAATGCGAGAAGCTCTTCCCAGGTCATAATAGCTCCTCCTGTGAGGGAAAAGGTCAATTTCCCCCGTGATATGGCAATACGCATTTCTGGCAACTGGCAGTTTGTTTAGTTGACAACTTATCTACATAGTGCTAGCTCCAAGGGTCTGACCTTCTGAACCATGAAGACATGCATTTCTCAACTTAGCAACGTTCCAAAGGGTTGTCACGTCCTTGCAGAGGAAAATAACATCAAAGCAGCAAAGAAATAAGAAAACAAAAATCATGGTAACGAACGTTTTAGATAAAGTTTCCCCCATACCAAAAAAAAACAGAAAATGTGCTGTTTCCAGCAGTATTATGACTATCTGTAGGCCACATTTCATAAAACTAATTAATTATGCAACAAACAACTAAAGAAGAATATATTTTTGAAATAATATCTGAAACATAGGCCCTAACATCTAGAAACACAAGAAAAAAGGAAAAAGTTTACTTTTCAGTGCAAATGCAGATTGAAGGTAGAATCACCGCAAAATAACAAAACCAAATTACCAAAAGTGACACCTAACTAAACAAATTGTAAATGCACATGGTTATCAACAAGTTATTATCGATGTCCTTTGTAATTTTAAGGAGGTCCTTCTATTGACTGTGGCATACAGTACCTGCCGTTGTTCACCCTACACTTAGGGCCTAGCACCAATAGATTACCTCCATGGCACGGAATGTCCGCGAACCATGGAGTTAATATTGTTTTTAGTGTATAAAAATTGCAAAGTCAGACCTGTGATTCCTATGGACCATTCCTATAGTTATACATTCTATATTTTATTACTTTTATATGGGTTTTAACTTTATTTTAACCAATCCCGTCTCTTGCCAGCGGTCTTGTCTGCTCTGCGGTGTGCCTGCCTGTCACCTATTGGATAGAATCAGTCCGATTCAGAAACTTCAACAAATTTAGCCCCTTGAGGTTTAAAATGTTCATTAAGTCACTCTTAGCTTGGATCAAGCACAGCATTATCCACCTTTGCTTTCAGTTCACCAAAAATAGACCCTCTGATCTCATGTAAAGAGTAGTTGAAATCCACCATTACCAAACAATTCCCCAAATAAACGTCCAATTGTCCAATCTTTTTGTCCTAAAAAGGAGTAAGAACAAGGGAACATAGACAACATTATCACTGACCAACTATGCATCTAGTGATGAGCCACAAATTAGCCTCATATGCCAATCTTTCCCAGGCGCTTTAGTATAATGTTTACAATAATGAAAAGGAATTACCTCCATGACTAACATACCAAACAAATACAAAAACTTAATTCCATAGCTAAGTAATCGAAATTTTTTATGTATATCTACAGAATAATCTATTTATCTAGAAGAAATATGAATCACATTTTCAGAATAAAGATAAAAAGAATAAAACAAAATCAATGCTTATAAGTAAGAAATACAATTTAAGGCGCACAAGGGAACATGGTAAAATAAAACTTTGATAATGTAATATAACTAATCAAACAATACAGCAACATTCTATAAAAAAAAAACAAGAAATATGCTACAAAACAAAAGTAATCATCTACTACTCCAAATGAGTAAAACCATCCCCAATGTTTTCAAAAAAAAAATGTGTAATAATTCATATTCCAGAAAATATAAAATATGTTAATTACTCTTAAAGATCATTAAAAACAAGAATTTTTTGTACAAGGAAATTCATCCATATATCATAATCTAAAAATTACAATTTAAAATGTATACTATTAATAATGAAAAATATAGCAGAACAAGAATTTTTTTTAAAACTAGTAACAAAGGATTTTATATTCATTTATAATTGTAGATTACAAACTGAAATTAAAAAAAAAATGATAAGAAAGCTGTGAAGTTTTCAATATTAATAAAACAATAAAATGATGAAATCACACTATCCCAAAAAATAACATTATAATAGATAAAAAATATATACCAAAGTTTGGCGACAATCATATTGCCCCTTCCTAAATTAGTCAGAATGTGTTTACACCATGAATATTCAACGTGTGAAAATTTAAAAGATACAACTTTACGGTGATGCAATAATAATTCCCTGCAAAGTCTACTTAAAGTAATAATAGATCATGATATGAAGTGCGATAGATAATTAAAAAAGCAGCCCCAAACCCACATAGTTTACAGATACGCTATCAATAATAACTTCATGAAATAGGAGGTCCTTACCTCAGGATATGTTAACTTACAGCAAAGCCAACGGAGGAATCCCAATTTCAATAACGACCTAAATAGGTCTGGGGAAGATAACAGAACGACATGTCATAATTAACGAACGCTTCCCCATGCATTTAGTTTTTTTTTTCTGGCGAAGTCCTGTCCTTCTTCTCATAGCAAGCTTGGCATATCAGAAGTACATCTCTCTGCCGCAGGACCCTACTCAAGAACAGGAGCCTTAAATCAATAAATGAGCCTTGATCATATGTTTGAAAAAAATTGACAGGTGAACAAAATTTAGATAGACAAGGTAGCAGATTTGCAAATTAATAATTGCAAAATATCAGCAACAAACATTTACTCTTTCTCCTTGGCCTACTATCACCAAGGATTGATTTTTAACAGAGAAAACTCAAGGAAATTCAACTAATAAGGCAACACTGCAATGCCATACCAGTAATTGTCCAGGAAACTAATCCTCAAGCAGCATATAGAAACCCAAGAAACCAATATAATTTGTTCTTATGTGAGTTTAGATACCGTAATGATGTTGATCCATGGAAAAGTCCTCAAAAGCTTTCAGGCCCTGGTGTCTTGAGTTTTATAAAATTAAAGATTAGGGCCTTTGTTGCTAAAATGTTTGAAGTTTGAAATGGATCCAACAAACAAAACACGTAGAATGTAATCTAGAACAGCATCATTAATATTTGTCAAAGAACATGATGTTTAACTTTATAAAAGTTTAAAGACATAAAGTAGAAATTTTGAATAGGAAAAGGAAAAGGAAAAAGTATGACGCTGATTCAACAAGGGCTGTTAAAAGTTTTCAACATCATCTGAAAAAGCCCCAAATATTTGGATCACCAATGGCCCAATTCATAGGGCTGGTGACCCTAAACTTTTAAGAGATTCCAAATCCCAGATAGAAAAAAACACCACCCCTAATGCCTTTTTTTTTTTTCCTGGTAAGGGTGAAGGTCAGTAAAGGCTTGAAAAGATATCTTATCTGAGTATATCTTGAACAGTTATGCCTCCTATAACAACTGGAAGGATAGTTAATAACAGATGATATTCGCGGCAGCAGAACAGCTGCAATTAAAATAACAGTTAAGCAGGACCAAATAACCAGTAGGCAGATAGAAAAGAATGTCCATCCAAGAGTAATCCTTCTTAGAATCAAATTACAGGGGCAGTTCTTGTGTGACTTTTGTAAATTTCAGAGGTTTGCCCACTTGTCTGCTTGTGAAGAACATCAATTTGTATTAATCTTTTTCCAGGTTTTGCAATTTCCAAAATATGAAAAACAGCCTAGACTGCATAGCCCATACATGCAAAATTATATTGATGAGGCAAAAATAAAAAATTCAAGCTAAACTGGTAACACATCTATCAATTTTAATAAACACAAGACAGAACTACAAGAATTAAGCGTGTACCCAACCTATATTGATTTGGCTGTTTGATTGAATGCGTAAGATCAACTCAGTGTCCGGCAGGCAGTGATCAAGTGAAGTCAGTTTATGAGAAAATATAATGAATCAACAAACCTAAATAACATACATCAGAGAAGGTAGGAGGTGATATATACCACCCCCCTTGCAAGTTTTGCCTATTCAAACAGAATGTTTATATAGATTGTGAAGACCATCCAACGCCTAACAATTTGAATGCTCTTTATTAATAAGCATCTCCCAAATAATATATGGCCTCGTAGCACACGCTTCTTGCTTAATAAGCTTACAAAACAGTTGAGGAGGCCTCTCCATCACCTGCAAGAAAAGAAATCAAATAAACAAAATGGAATATTGTGGCTCATTTAATGTGGCCTCAATATACTCCCCCCTTAGCAATACAAAAGAATCGGGGAAAAAAAAAAAAAAAAAAAAAAAAAAAAAAAAAAAAACAACGCCGCGTAAAAGAGGTAACAAAGACAGCAAAAAATAAATAAATAAATAAGATATAAATTAACATCATGATTCAAGAACAGGCATATATGCATGTTTGTCAGACAAGAATATAAATATGTAAGCTTGTCAAAATAATGTCCCAATTTCTACTTATGGGTGAAAAGTGAGACGCTGAATAAGGCCCTAAAAAATCCCTCCAAAACATTTAAAAAAGTATTGGACCTTTTCTTTGTGCAATTGTCAGAGTAAATAAATTCTAAAATCATTCACTTGAAGCCTTTCAAAATGAACTACCATGACTAAAGCTATTCTGATGGGAATTCAACTGCTAACCGTTCTTTCAAAAATTTATATTAGTGCTGCTCTTTAAGGCCAGAATTTATACAAGTACTTACAGAATCGCCACCCTTTGTTGGTGGCCGGAATTTTATAGCAGCCACTAGAATGGTCTCCAAAAAGAACATAGAAGGCCCTGCTTTTTTCTTTCCAAATCCTTGCTGCTGAAGATCACTTATAAATGAGCAGATGCGGTCCTCATTTTCCCATAAAAGGTCTAATGCATCTTTAACCTGCAATGTGAAAAAAGCACAGGACATACTATCCAATCAGAAAATTTAAAATGCAGTTTTTGATCCAAAGATGTTTTTCTCATGTTGGAAAACACATGCCAACTACATCAGCCAAAGACATTCAAAGAGGGCACTTGTTAATGCTGGAAAGACATACCTCGGATGGTAAAAGCTGCTTGGAGAAAGCACTTCTCTGCTTATAAAACTCACGAGCCTCCTGACTCCCTTTTTTCTTATGCCTCTTCACATCAGTATCTTGGTTTCCCGAAGGTTCAGCTGACTCTTCTACATCCGTCATCTCATCAACTTCAGCAACTAATGGCCCTCCAAGCTGGCGTCCTCTTATTATATTTGCTCTAATACTAGCATCTGTCATACCACTCTGCAAATATGAACCAGGGGAAAAGTTAGTATAGCCTTTACGGATATCACATTACAGCACATGTTAGAATACCAACATAAGCTGCAATAAGAAGTAGTCTATGACCAAAAAAAAAAAAAAAAAAAGAGAACCTCCAGATAATAAAACTGTGTGTATTCAGGCAAGCAATCCACATATAATAAGAAATTTTAAATGTCCATATGTTCAGAAGTATATACTTACAAACCAGAAAAATAATCTATACAAAGAAAGAAAAATTGCCTACCCAAAAATAGAATCTCACTCAATCATTGCTCTTACTACAACAACAAAACAAAGAATAAGCATAAAACTTTGACATGATTAACACCCAATATTAATTTTGAAATTCCATTGGCGTAAGAAGGAGATGGAGAAAAGATGGCAGCAAGTCAGCAGCAACAACAAAGAAAAGAAAGGAACTTTTCAAAAGAACTTGAATTCATCAAAAGTTAGAGAAAAGAAATATCAACAAAATAAGTCGGTATAATAGTTGCCTCAATACATGTCAGTTACAAATTAAATATTATTATTATTATTATTATTATTATTATCAATGGTCGATGCGAATATGATAAGCTTGTACAAAAAGGCAAAATGGTCCTGTGAGAGAACTGAAGAGCCAGATTACAAGAAAGCTCCATCAACTTAAGAATTGAAGCAAAATACATGCATCCATAGATTAATACGTTAGAGCACATGTCACTCGCAACAAAGTTAATTAGTTCAATATATCAACAAAAACTCCACACCCAGGATTCAATGATTTTCTTTTTCTAAATTTATGACATTTCCATTTATGATCAGGAACAAGCTCAAATACTTGCAGCAAAATCTATCATATATGATATATCTAAGAAAGCACATGCTATCATTCAAATTATAAAATGCAATAAAATTATTAAAGAAATAAAAATAAATAAAAAAGCCATAAATTATACTAAAAATATACCGTGTAAAACCACCCAAACATAGGTTTGGTAATGTTTGGATTTACTGCCCCACAATTCTTACACTTCTTAAATTTTGGCATCAGAAAAGTATTTAAAACAGATGTTGCTTCACTGAACTGAAGTGATGTCCACTCCTTCTGCTTCATATGCTCACCATTGTGACATTGTGCTCCTGAATGAACCGTAGAACAAGATTCATGGCTACCATCACTCTCCTCTGGATATAATGTCTCACTTGGTAAGACTGAATCTAATCTTTTAGCCCCAACAATATCACCTTTTACTATGAGTTCCAGTTGTTTAACGCATTTATCAACCTAAATAGATAGAGTTTAAAAAGAAACAGAATCAGAGAAGAAAAAAGCTATAGATAGATAGATAGATAAATAGATAGAGAGAGAGAGAGAGAGAGAGAGAGAGAGAGAGAAGAAGAAGAAGAAGAAGAAGAAGAAGAAGCCTAAGGGAAATACCTGGCCCCTATGAATTCTAAAATGGAAGCAATAAAAACAGGTCCTTTGCAGAAGTTTGTGAAGAAAATTGAAGAGCAGGGGATTGTAAACTGGAGAAACAAGATCTATATGGCCGCAATGACCAGGGCAATTGGTTAATCGTTGGCCACAAGTCTTGCAACTGCATTGAAGTAAAGAACCAGCTACATCAACTATAAGTCAACACGTTTGACCACGATATTGCAAATATGTATATTTAATATCGAATATATCAAATATAATATTACTAACTGCAACTCACTTTAGTGATGGGACACTATCAGAAACAACTGAAAAAACATCGCAATTCCTCAAAAGGAAACTCATGGACTACAAGAAAAATATTATTAAAACAATGGAAAGGTTGTGAATGATACCAAAGAATATCTTAACGTCCAAAAATGAATTGATATGCAATTTAAAACCATCAGTAATTAATGAAATCAAAGAAGAACACCAGTACATGTAACTAGCTCTGCAACCCATATCTAGTCCACGCATTTGAAGCGGATATAAATTATGGATATTATTACTTGCAAATGTTGAAATAGTATATCTCAATTGGAAAACATTCAGCAGAAGTTCTAATACACACGTGGATTTGCACATAAATTTTTAGTCTTTGAAAATTTTAAGCAACAAACTATCATGCACAGATTTCTATGTAAAAATATAGTAAGAACGTACATTGTCCCTTCACTTAGTGGCCCCAGTGCTGGATCATATAGTCCACCAAGCACAGGCCTATCCACAAGATCAAGCAATCTAGGGTCTGTAATCTTCACAAAACTATGTTTTCGAACCTCTTCATCAGTTAAGAAACTGAAAGTTATTGAGTCAATAGACTCAGTTGCACCCTGCAACAAAATCCAAATTCACAAACTCAATCAAATATTCAATATAACAGTCGATTAAAATCTAACAAAAGAACTAAAATTTAAAAGAAAAAAAAAATAAAAAACAAGGGTTCACGCATTACATTCACTTCAAGTAAAGGAATCAAAAATCACTTAAGAAGTTATTGTTTTTAGGTAGCAAAAAATTCTCAGCTCAATCAACCAAATCCTATGGCTCAAAACTAAATTTTTAACCAAATACAGAAGCATCATTCCAAGCTTTTGAACTCCCAAGCAATAATCCCAAATCAAAACGTTCAAAAGCTATATAGCATGATTATAGCCACATTATTTCACCCCATTAAAATTGAAACTAAAAATCCTCACTGGAAATTTGATTAATTTTTCAAAACCACAAACTCCAGCAGATTGAACCAATCACCAAAACTGAAAAACAAAATACTTCCAGTTCAACTGTCGTGCAACGACAAAAATATGAAAATACAAAATACTTTGTTTTTTCGCTTCCTTTCCTAATTTTTCTCCTGTGCTCTAACCATTAACATTAAATGATATGTATTATATCACAACGAAAGAGAGAAGAGAGAGAGAGGGAGGAGCTGGGAGTACCTCTGTTGTGGCTGTCATTTATGTGTTGCTGCGTTGGCGCCAACGTCAAGGAGAGGTTGCCTTGGAGTACGATGTGGAAGATGAAATGGAACGAGAGGTGGAGGAGGAGATGCGTCGTCTGCAGCAGAGAGAAGAGAAAGCCGACGCCCACTTTAGTTTAGGGTCTATGAGAGGTTTTACAAGACGCAGTTTAATTATTTATTTGTCTGAAACGAAACAGTGTGTAACAATTAACAAACAAGGCAAAAAAAAAAAAAAAGTCCAGTTTAAACCTACTAAATAAGTTGCCTGGTTACTATTCGATCTGTAAAATGTTAATGTAAAATATAAAATAACTATTAAAAATATAATTATTTTTAAATATTTTGATATTTAATATATAGATATTTCTTAATTTAAGGTGAATATATTATTTTTATTTTAATGTATTATGTTAATAAAATAATAATTAAAAATTTAAAATAACATTTTTAAAAAATTATTTTTAAATAAAAATAAAATGATCACAAAAAATATCAATTTGAAAAAAAAAATATTAGTAATTATTTTATGAGGTTAATAAAGTCTAAAATAATATAAATACGAATCAGCTAGTGGCTGATCAGCTACTACTTCCCTTCCATAATATTTGTCACATCTGAAAAAATAATTTGTTCTAAAATACTTGTCACATTTATAATTTCAAAGAGTAATAAATATTTTTTTTCATGTTTATCCTTTGTATATGACCAATAATTATTATTGCAATTACTAATGATTTTCTTAGATAATTAGTACTAAATTAAAGATAATGTTTGTCAATTTATTCAATAATTTATTATAATTTAAATAAATTTAATGATTTTCTTAAGAAATTTGAAATTTTAGATGTAACAAAATATTGTGAAATAAAAATAATATCAGTTGTTAATTAAAAAACTACAAAACAATAGGTGGCATGTAAAAGAGCTATCACTTGTATGAAACGGCTGAACCAAATGTGGTCTTATTCCGTGAACTTATTTAGTAGGTTTAAAAACAGAGAGTAAATGGAAATTGTTACCCAAGACAAAAACACCGTTTGTGGTCTTGTCCATATTAATTACTTTCTAATAAGTTTTGTAACTTGATCTTTTTACGGAAAGTTTTACTGATTATACACCCCATTCATTAAAGTTTGATTTTTAAATTTTTTATTTTTTGCAAATCTCCAATCTAATATGAAAAAATTGATGCATGGAATTGGAAAGTTAGAAGAAGAATATAACTTGGAACGCATGGAATTGGAAATTTAGAAGAAGAATGTAACTTGGAACGACAAAACAATATAACTTGGAATATATCTTTAAACTATCGACAATAAAACAAGAAGAAAAAGCATATAACTTGGAGTACATGATTGAAAAAATTAAAAACAAATTTCTAAAAATAATCAAATTGTGGTATATCGTCGAAGAAGTTGATAGCAGAATTTTCATCCCAATCAATTGCACTAAAATCAGGAATAGGTTCTGGAATCGCAATCTCAGAAAGACATGGCAAATAGTTGCCTGAAAAGGTTGAAGAAGAAGAAGCAGCAGCAGCAGCAGCTGATTCCTCCTTTTTGTGTATATCAATCATACGATTAGGGCTCCTTTTTTTCTTATTGCTCCATTGTGGCTTAATTTTTCTAACTTGAGAATCCAGAGACAAGTAATTAATTATCTTAGATTTCCTTTTGCTCCCACTCTCACGTTTCCGCATGGCTAAATATAAAGATGGTTAGTCTGAAGGTATACTTAAAGAGCTCGAAGTTGAGGAATTTATAGATTTAGTTTCCGAATATCCTAAATTCCCAATTCCTGTAGGTTTTGACTTTTTTTCCCAATCCTAATTTTATAAGGAAAAGCTTTCACACGTGGCTTTCATATTCTGATCCAAAAAACAAATATATATATATATATATATATTATTTGTAGCATTCAAAGTAAATGAATTTTTTGATTAGACATATTAATTCAAATATAAAATATCAATTACATTCGAGATATTCAAAAAAAGAAAATCAAAAAGAAAAAACTCCATATTATGTGGCACCTTAAATGTTCAAATATATCATTTTTATTTATACATGAAAAGAAAAGGTGCCAGCACTATGCAAGTGTTTTGAGTTCTGGTTATCCATTATCTAAAAAACAGATTAAAAGGAGCCAAAAACAGATTAAAATAGGGCAAAGGAATTCCTAATCTGTGCATCAATACATACATGCTACAGCCATCTGTTGATACAATCTACAGAATTAACCTAATAATGAATTGATATGCATACAAACTGTGCAGCACATGAAACCAAAGACATTACTGCTCAAACTAGTCTAAAATAAAAATGACACACAAGTTGTAAAGCTCGGGAGGAGATGCTGCTCGTATCATCACAAAAATGACTTCTGATGAAGTTATGGATGTATGTGAGGTTTTGTGAACAGAAACAACTAACAGTCACTTGTCTTTTACTGTTTCCAAAGGCCCCACCACATTCTTCTGCTTTGCGGGGGCAACCTTAGCAGGGGTCGAATGCTCTGACTGAGAAAATCGAATCAAGACTTGCATGAGGACAGTAACAATTGCAAGTGCGGATGCCGACAATGCAATCCCCTTCCACGATGAAAAAAGTGAAGACCATTGGAGGAACTTCCAGGCCCCAAAGATAAGCATACATGCCCAAGAAGTAACAACCTGATTCCAACATACGCATATAATCAATACAACTGCAAACTATGAACATCAGAAAATCCCGCAAACCACCCACATTAAAAGATTTTACATAGCAGTTTGGTTGTTTACTAAAACCAGTATCTCACCACAAGGGATTTTATTGGTCGGCTAATATCCTGCAATGGTTGGTCGCTGAATGAGTCCTCAGCTATGTGCTTGTCCAGTAATGCATCCTAGCAAGCCAAAAAGCAAACCGGAAGAAAATCATTCGGGGGAAGTAGCACCATTAATTACAGCAGATAAAGATAAATGGGTTGAACATGCAAACATTTGCACACGTGGGCCCAAACATACACCACTTTACATTTCACTATCACCTTTTCTCATGCTTCAAAATTTACTTCAGACATAGCACCAAACTAGATAAAGCCAGACCCTGCAACACAAGTTATATGGTAGACACATACCTTGGCTACAAATATATCTCTACACCATTGTGCTACAGCTTCATCCAATTCGGGCAAATCCTTCATCAAATGACGTTTTAGGTGTACGTGCACCTGCAAGAGAGTAACTGGGAGTCATTATCAATTACCATGAAAAGAAACCGGCATTCTTTCTTGAGAAGAATACAAGGAATTCAGAAGTCACAAATTACATGGTATATTCATTATTATTTGGATTTTGGAGTATTTGCCATACTTTAAAACCCTCTCTTTGTGAACGTGCACACAAAATAAAAATTTAAAAAAAAAAAAAAAAAAAAAAAAAAAATTCGTACATCCATTCCTGCTTTACAGCTTGCATTCCGCAATTTCGGGCCCAGAAATTCCTTTTCATGCAAATTCGACGTTTTAGGTGTACGTTGCACTCTTGCAAAGAGAGTAACACTGGGGAGTCACTCCCTATCAAGATTACCATGAAAAAAACCAGGTCATTCTTCTGAGAAGACTACAAGGATTCAGAAGTCACAAAAATTTACATGTTATATTTCATTATTTATTTGGTTTTGGAGTATTTGCCATACTTAAAGAACCCTCTCTCGTTGGGTGAACGTGCACACAGAATAAAATTTAAAAAAAAAAAAAAAAAAGAGAGAAAATAAAAAAAAGCGTAGCACTAAAGGCATAATTATAGGGTACGCTTCCTGTTGTTTCTCAAAATAAGCAAAATTAAACTTCATACAATATATAAGTGTGGTGACAAGACCTTATTTGTTAGATATCAGATTGGCTCCCAACAAAAAAAAAAAAAAAAAAAAAAAAAAAAACTACACTAAAAGCATAATTATAGGGTAGCTTCCTGTTGTTTTCAAAATAAGCAAAATTAAACTTCATACAAATAAGGTGACCAAGACAATTTGTTTAGAATCAGCTCCCAACATATTCGTCATATTCACAGTGCAGACTAGTTGAGAAAATACATACAACAAAATCAGGCCACATCCACTTCAAAACTGTTTACTTCCCCAGTCTCACAGCAATATAATCTGAGATTAGCACTGCATGCCCAATGAATCATATACTTGTTTTTTTACTACCAAGTCAAAATTGATAATGATAACCCAAAGGTCAAATTAACAGGATAATACTGAATGAAGCTCAAAACGATTGAATAGAACACTAATGACAAACATTGAATTCACAATCCACTTGGATTTGAATGGCTGAAGGATAAACGTCATTCAAATGATCAAAGATGATGAAGTCCAATATCCTATATAATTTGCAGTATATGAAGCACAGAGGAACCCAACAGGAGACAATATTGAAGTTGTTTCAAAATTCAATCATACGTGTAAACCACTTCATGCAACTGAATAAACCAAAAGATTCTGTTTGCTTACCACTGAGGATTGGCCCTTGAACATTCTGAGCATTGTAGGTTGAGGTGAATTTTTGGGGATAGCTACTGTTACATCATAAATGGCTGGGACAAAAGAGCGCATATTGCTTACTGCTGAAACAAATCCCTAAAAGCAACAGAGAAAAAAGCGATCAAGGCAAGTGATGAAGTACATATATATTTGAGCGGAATCTAGACACATATTACTTTTTTCAGGAAGGACAAAAAGGGGTGGGTGAAACAGCTGAAACTTAACACCAAAGGAGTTCCGAATCAACACTCCTATCATTCATCAAGTTATTCAGAGTGCATCATGAAGAGCAAGGAATAAACAGCAAACAAAAACAAAGAGGCTAGTTGAACTTGGATAAAAACTCAGTTCCATTTTTATTTATTTTCTTTTTCTTTTTCATGGGAGAAGGTTTCAATAAGACAAACTATGTAAATTATATTATTAAGTTACTGAATAAGAATGATGCTAAGTTCACATGCAATCATATAATATAGATGGACCAATGAATCAACCAAGAAGATAAATGAACTATGTACACTATGAGAAATGTTTCATTGATACTATGTTACATAATCTAGCTAAATAAACCATAATGGAAAGGCCGCAATATTCCTTCTCTGTGTTGTTTTGCCCTTTTTTGGGTCGGGAAACACAAAACTAGATGAAAATATTAGGAACTATCCCAATATCTCACTGCATTATCCTCAAATCAAGCACTTCCTCTCAGTACAAGGACATTATTAGGTGCAATTCATATAAATCCTTAACCATATGACCAACACGCTTCTGCTTCCACATAGCTAGTGCACGCCATAAATGAAGTTCAAACAGCACTAGGCAGTAAATAAGGAAAGATTGTTCACTGCCTCTTTCCTTTTCTTGCTCCTTATTATTATTACTATTATTATTATTATTATTATTAGTATTATTTTTGCTTTTTGTGCCTAGAAAAAGTGAACATGAGGAGGACAAGGGTGCAATAAAAATTTAACCTTAGTACGAGGAATCAAAACATTTCTAGGAATAGGCAACCCTGCTGAAGCTGCATATTCCTGAGCTGCTAAAAGCTTTGCCTGTGTAAAGCGAGTTCCTTCTACGAAAAGAGCAAGCCAGAAGGGCCGAGGGAAGTCTTTTAGCCGCTGAAGACCTGACTGCAGATAGAATTCCATAAATTCAAAACAGTATCAAGAATAATAAACCCATAGATACATATGCATTTATGCAATGTGAATAGCTATCGATGGAACATCTGCACTTATTTGCACATGGACGCAAAAACTATAAGTATATACAGAAACATATATACGTACTGATACCTTTAAAGTGCTTTCATCCTTCGCCCAACTTCTTTCGAGGAAGAGGTATTCAGAAAACCACATGGACCAGCCTATTACCTGAATCAAGTTGCAAATAGAAATTATACTACACGCATATGGAAAGTGCGCATCACAGAACTAACAAGTCAAACACAAATATCCATAGCATTGCATATAAAAATAGACGAGAAAACAGAGAGAGAGAAATAAGTAAGGCGAAATCTTAAACTTGCTAATATTTCACATATCCATAATTAATATTTTCCTTGACTCTTCAGTAACTAATACTGCTTAATCACAATTGTTTCTTCATTTCTAAAGCATTTGAGGCAGAAATTAAAGCCTTTTGTGTGTGTGTGTGTGTGTGTGGGGGGGGGGGGGTTGGATAAAGAGTGTTGATGATGTAGAAAACGAGGGGGGTTAGAGAGGGGGGGGGGTGTAGGTTAGTTGGAGGTTGATAACCATATAACCCTCAAAAGGGTCGCTCTCATCTCTATATAGAGTTAACAAAATGCAGTCTCGTCAGATTACCCTAAAATAAACCACCGCACCTTCAGATAGCTGACCTACATCAATTGCACAAATCCAATAACCTTCTCAGCAGGTAAAAAAGACCACACCTCAAAAAATTCTAAATTACCTGAAAATAATAATCACGTGAGACATAACTGATCAGAGGCCATTCAAAAACTCATTATAATATATGATGTTGATCCTAAGAACCTAGAGAGATAAAGAGATTACAATACTAACATATCCGGCAGGAGTTTTACGATTGATTCACTCATTATAAGACAGATAATGACGCATTGCCAATTAGTGCAACCGGTATATTCGCTGTTATCATCAAAAGCACCATGACTAGAAAATAATCTTATAGATAAGCGAAGTATAAATAAAAAAAATTAGAACACTCAACCAAAAATAACATAGGGGGGGGGGGGTGAGGGTGGAGGTGATATACAAGGGTGTCTGCATTTGAGTTAAATCAGTTCCAAGTTCTATACCGCCTCATTTGACTACATTTGCAAATCCATAACCTTCTCAGCAGGTAAAATTCAACTCAAAATTCTAAAACTGAAAATATAAGTGAACATAACTGATCAGGCATCAAACTTAATTGTGTTGTCAAGACCTGTAAGGTTAAAACATACCGGCAGGAGTTTAGATGATTTCTTCATGACAGCTAATGCGCTGCCAAGGCAACCGGATCGCTGTCATAAGCATGCTAAAAATTAGATAAGGTATAAAAAATAAAAAATAAAAAATAAAAAACAAAAATGAACAAAGACGACATTAGAAAATTGAATTTTCAAATCAAACAGTAAGAGAAATGCATTGGGCATTTTAAGTCAAAGGACTTCTGCATTTATAATATGAGAACGGTATTTGCAAGTACTGATGGTAGATAATTACGGCCTCGCAGTATGCTGGTGAATACAAATGAATGTATACACACGCATCAATCCTCGTAAGCATATCATATTTTAACTTGTGCCTTTACATGTGTGTAAATAAGTTGCTGCGTGTCAACAATGTACCTGAGCCAAAACCCATCCAACAAGCCAATCAATGTCACTTCTGTGGTTGCATATGACAAGTGCATGTTCTTTGCCTGAAACAGCATAATAAGCATACAAATAAGCAACTATTTAGACTTCTGAACTGGACTCATATTTATACTCCAGCAACATGAGAGAAAAAGAAGCAGAAAACATCCTAATTAGCTAGAGTATGGCCTTACCCATTAAGCGGAAGGTCTCCTGATCCGTATAAAGTTGGATCTGCAGACACAAATGATCAAAATTTAATTTTCCAGAAGATAGAACTGAAAAAAGCAAGCCAAATGTCAAGGTCAGAGGCTACTTGTTGCATTCTGTCCATTTCCTTACCTATTGTACCATCTAAAAGGCATCTTTCTACAATTAAAGTGAAAAAACAGAGTAAGACAAAGCCAGAAACTGTTTTGATTTTCCCTTTTTTGGAGAATACAGTGTAGAGGAAGTGGGAGAGATTGAAAGGTAAACCCCTATCGTCATTTGGAAAAGAAATCAATCCAAATGGAAATAAACCGGGTTTTATCTGTTGTAAAAGAACCACCAGTCCCCCTCCTCCTCTTCTTTTTTAGAATTGTCATTACATATTTACCATATAAGCAGGATCTCAACTGATGAATAAAAACATTAATATACAGATTCTTTATGATTTGCGTTTTTTTTTTACCAAACAGAATAGCTAGAGAATGAACACCAACAAATGCATGTGGACACACATGTGCACACAAAGAAATGCAAGTGTGCACATGAAATGTGTTAATAATCGGCTGTGAAGAGCAATTTTAGGTAACTGCCCACTGACTTTCCATTCCAAGTGGCAGAATTTTTTTTTATATTCTCTCTTTGATCTAACTCAACTGAACGCCCCACCTCCCTGCCCCCCTTCTTCTTCTCATGACAGCAAAGCAGTGAGGAAGGCTCTACACGCCTAAAATGCAAAGACGAATGCAAGCACCTACGTATACTGACTGAGCAAGGTCTTGTCTGATACAAATTGAACCAAAAGACAAATAACAGAGAAGAGTAAATCATAAAAGGACTAAGGATGTGATTGTGACATTTAATTAACCAAGAAAGGACTTTCCAGAAACACACCATTAGAGGCTCAGAGCAATACAGCTATCATCCAAACGGATGCGATGCAGAGAGAAGTAACTACGCCTTCGTCACAAACTAGTTGGGGTCAGCTCAATAAATGATAACCAAATTAAAATTTACAAACTCCGAAAAAATTTGAAAAGATAAATATGACATGGTATGAGATTAATGTGTTTTGGTTAAAACCTGAATTCCTGCCCACCAATCAACAAGCCAAACAAGCTCCAGCCACAACAACTCTGCTACAGCTCTATTGATCTTTCTGTATGTATTCTTTGACAGTGGCCTTATTACGACAAAGCAGATTGCCTGAAAAATGTAGCTTAGGTTAAATCGACTAGCTTCAATTGCAGAACCAAGTAGATTCGAAAACGCAGACTCAAAAGTAAACAAAACCCAGAAATCATATCCACCCACAAACAAAAACACAGATTAAACCAACCCCAATACTTAAAACAAAAGAAAAGTATCAAATCAAACAAGTTACCTGAATGAGATTAACAACGAAACCAGACAAGAAGAACAGAACTCCCAATGGCAGAATAACAGCTGCCGCTGGAATCGCCATGACCCAAACTAACACCGAGCTTTGATCCTCTAGCGAAAGAAAAAGTTAGAGAGTCAGATAGAGCAAACAAAAGCTCGGATCGGAGACGGTACCAAAAGGCAAAATGATGGTTTAAAACAATGAAGTTTTTCGACTTTTTTTAATATTATATATATATAAATTTTAAAACAATGAAGTTTTTCGACTTTTTTATATTATATAATATATAAATATATATATATAAATACTTTTTTTTTTTTTTTTTTTTGGAAAGTATGCGGCGAGGATTTTATGGGTAATTATAGATTTGAACAGGGAATTTGGGATTAGAGAATTTTTTTTGGAAGTATCGGCGAGGATTTTATGGGTAATTATAGATTTGACAGGAATTTGGATAGAGAGATGAGACTGTCAGCTCATTCATTCACTGACCAGTGCAAGAGATAGAAAGAGGAGGAGTTTTATGGAGGAAGAGAAGCAAGAGCTTGTAACTGGTTAGAGGATTTCACAGTTGGTTTAAACCGTCAAACCAAATCAGACCAAATTAAGCGGCGTAGATCAATTTAACTATTGGAAGTTGGAACCAAAAAAAAAAAACAAATTTGAGTTTTATTATTTTATATATAATTTCTAATCTGATTTTAATTATTTTAAATAAATCAAACTAAATTATAATTTTTTATTTATTTATTTTTATAAATACACAAATTTAATTATTTTATTGATTAATATGGTATAATAAAAAGATTTAATATTCAGACTATGTTAATTAATTTTTTAAATTTATAAATTTGATCTAAATATATTGTTGTTAAATATATTGAATATTATTCATTTAAATCAAGATTTAGAAACTAAATTTATTAATTTACTTTGAATATTAACAAGTTATTCTTTTCAAAAAAAATAAATTTATCAAAAATTTGCAGATAAATATAATAAAGCCAAGTGATTGTAGTTTGGTTAATCTCCATGCTTTTTAAGATTTTTCATTAAAAAAATTTCACCACTTTAATAAATGTTATTCTAACACATTTAAATTTGAATAAATTATACTTAAATAAATAAATTTAGTATTTCAAATTGTTGTAAAATAGACTTAATTTTATTATTTAGTTAAAGTTACATCTAAAATAATTTAATTCAGTTTTAATTTTTTTTGAAATTACTCTAAACCGAACCATTTACACCCTTATGCGTGGTTTTGCTTGTCGTGTCTGGCTGTCTGCAATTGCATTGCAACAATAACAAATTTCGTTTTTCGTTTTCTTATTTCATGCGCCAGAAATAATTTATCTCATGTTCTCGGTCGACATTGGCTTCGGGTCAAATCCAGATCCATAGGTACATGGATGTGCCCATCTCCTAATAATAATATGAATACAAAAATTATAAAATTTTCTTTGATTTATAATTTTGAAGTACGAAAAAAATGTCATAAAAATATAAGTATTTATTTCGGATTTTTCACAAACAATATAAATGATTTTACAAATTTTCATATTTATAAATAAAAATAAAACAATATTTTCTTAATCATCTAAAATTATTAAATATAAAATGTGTTACATATTTTTATTCTTTTTTTTTCCTTAATTTTTTCTCTTAGATTTAGTTTATTGAAATTTTATTTCGCAGCTTAATAATGAATCAAAATCTAAATTTTTAAACAATGTTGAAAAAACAAATTATTTTTCATATCAACAGCTCAAATAATGAATTTTTATAGATAATTATGAAAATGAAAAATGAGATCTTCTTTTTCTTTTTTTGTTTCTTCCTTGTTTTATTTGATTTTTTTTTTATTTTTGACACTGTGATTTTCAACGGATAATTAATATTTGGCCCACTTTGGTCGTCGGCAAATTAGTGTGAAATAGCCATATCACATGGGAAGGCAAGTCATAGGCATAGAGAAGAGAGAACTGATGACACCAGCGCAGGCCAAAAACGAAAAACAAAACAAATGGAGAAAAAAACATGTTCGTCGAAAATATTTGCATATAAAATTTCATCGCGCTTAGAATGCTCATTTCGAGCCCATATGAATTTATCGGATAAAATACCATTCATTTATAAATGAAGCCGGTATAAATATATATCAATTCGACAATAATTAATTCAATTTTCCTTTTTGTATAAATAAAAAATATTTTTTTAGTAATTTTATGTATATTTTGATATGATCCATTAGAACTGATCCAAATTCAAATTTAAACCAAAATCATTCTAAACGAATTTCTACTGGCATTTTTGTTGCTGAATTAAGTATAAATATTACAAAATTCAATCCGAATCCGATCCATAATCATCCCTAATTACGCCCTTCAATAAATTTAATAAGTCAAATTGGAGTTTGCTTATTATATAGATTTAGTAGACAAGCTAAATTTCAACTTAATTTTTAAATTTGAATTGAGTAATTTTTTTTATAGCTAAAAGTTTTAATCACGAGATCATAATGTGTGCAAATTTTTAGTTCTGTTAATAAATTATACTTGGTATCATTTTATTTATATTTTCACATTCATCAAAATTGAAATTATTTATCACTCCGTTTAAAACGTTGTTCAGCAATTTTTTTTGTTTATTCTGGCTGGGCATGCTTTTGTCTCCGGTGACAAATATTATATGCTAAAAATGACAAGGCAATGGCACGTAACAAGGATGCAAATGCTGTTTAGGCACCGCAGCAATTACTTGTCCATCACTCCATGTAACCGATGATGACAAATTAATAAATTAACTAAGCAGTTAGTTCAGTTTTTTTTTTTTTTTTTTTTTTTCAAATTACTTGTCATCAACTCCATGTAAACCGATGATGACAAATTAATAAATTAACTAAGCAGTTAGTTCAGTTTTTTTTTTTTTTTTTTTTTTTGAAAAGGCAGTTAGTTCAGTTAAAGTGTTTTAAAATTTTTTTTTTTTTTTTTTTTTTTTGAAAAGGCAGTTAGTTCAGTTAAAGTGTTTTAAAATTAATTAACTTCATCCAGAAAATTACTGTTTTTAAAATGTTACACTTTAATGTCCAAGAGTTTTATAATTTTTCAAAAAAATATTCATATATTTATAATTATGCCTATATTTTTTATATTGTGTCTATTTAATATACTTATGAAGATTTTTTTTCCAATATATAAACAATATTTTCACGTTCAAAATAGAGATAGCGCATTTAAGTAAAATTCTTCCCAACAACTTAAAAATTAAGATACAATTAGATTATAAAATTTAGAAAATAAAGTGTAATCTAATTTAAAACGTCAAAGATTAAATATATTGTGAAAAAGAATCAAATAAGGTTTTGACTGATTATTAAGTTTTAATCTTGAAATAATAATCAAATAGTATATTATGACAAATGTCATGTTTTTACAAGTATATATATTATGCAAACTTTCTAATCAGTTAAAACTTTAAATTGCCGACATGGGCAGCCAGGTGGCTAGCAAGGATGACGATTTATTACGCGGATGATGAATGCAATTAATAATGACAAATGACAATCCATATATACGTACGGATAATAAATTATTTCGTCTTAAACTTTACATTCTGACACGCTCTCGCTTTAATTTGATCTTTATCGTAATTTTATTATGAATTTTGACATTTTGTTATGATAACACCTTAATCAGAATTTAAATTATAAATAAAAAATATATTATTATAAGATTTACTTCTAATAAATAATAAATAAAAATGCATTATTTGATATAAATACGTCTTTTTTTGAGTACTTCTTAAATGATAAACGAATCATTAGTATTGTTTTGATTTTTAATGTAAATTTTGAAATAATTATAAAATTTAAAAAACAAATTCATAAACTATTATAAACTATAAATGGTTGTTTTATCAAAATAAAATATAAGATATAATTATAATTATTATTGAATGAAAGGAAATATATATTTGTGCAAGACAACAATTAAACTTAATAAATTTATATGAATAATGAAGTTTGGATTAAAGTTAATCTAAATTGAGTAGTGGATTGCAGATTACTATACTTTTTATTTCCAATTTAAATTCTAATTATGATTTAGTGTGTCATTATAATAAAAGATTAAATTTCATGGTGAAATTGACATAAATATCAAAATAGAACGAAATTGCAACACAATACAAAGTTCAGAGTGAAACGATGAATTAAAACCAATAGGTCCACCACATATACCTGATCTAAAATTTCAATGGTAAGTGAATATATATATATATATATAAAGAATAGACATCATAGATGAAAAGTATTAAGGGAAGAATTATTCTTTATCATATAGCAACATTAAAACTAACAAGTATACATAAATTTCATGGTTGGTGAACTATTTTAGCCCAATTTAATTGCATGTTTGAAAATTAAAAGATTTATACTATAGTAAAGCAATTGTCCAATTAATCTCAACCACCCCACCAGCCTTCAATTAAAAATTTGTTTCTAGCTACTAAATTAGGTTTCAATTAGATATGATTTACTATCAACTTATCAATCTTTTCAATGCAAGTCAAAGTATTAAGGGAGGTTAAGGTTGTGTTTGACAACAGTTTTTTAAGTAGTTTTTAATATTTAATTGGTCAAAATGCTAAAAGTTATTTAGTAACATAATATTTGAATTAGTTTTTAGAGGTTAGAATATCGTTTTGTGAAAAGTTAACTCATATAACATTTAGCTTTAGCGTTTTATAAAAAAACTACTGAAATAGCTAAGAGCTACCAAAACAATTAACATATATAAAAACATATAATTTTGCCGAATAGACCCTAAATAAAATGTGACATAATCATTTAATAGAGCATCCATCAATTTTACTTTTTGGTTATTAAACTTTTAGCGCCAAAACAATTAGATTAATAATTCAATAGTTAAATATTAATTATTTCAAATAAGTAAACTTTGGCGTTTTTGTTCTATATAATTTTTTTGATATATACATATATATATAATTTGTAAAAAGTATTAATTAAAGTTTTACTCTTAGCGATTATAAGTAATCCAAACATTCATAATTTTTAACTTAAGGTTTCAGAGATGGGTTTAAAAATACTATACATAGTTGAAACGCCCTGAATTTTTATTTTCGAAACTTTTGAATTTTTATTAAATCAAAAATCGCAAATTTTGGCCGCGTGGGCTGCAA